ATTCTGGGAAAAGACTGGGGTAAATTGTTTAATGCCACAAATTCTTCCCATCCCAGTATATATACTCCTCACTACAATCTGACTTTGGTGTACCTCCCATCTCTAGGTAAAATCTATTTCTCTAACCCCAACAATCTGGTCTGGCTTTGTGATTTCTCTGGAAAATAAAATACAGTGACAGAGATGTGTAACAAGCTTAGGAACCTAAGTCTCAAGATACCCTGCAGCTTGGGTCATTACTTGATTGGAAGGTGGCTCTGAGATGTCATAAGGGAAGATGACCCTTGCGAGAAAGCCCTCTTGAGAAGGAGAGAGCACCAGCTATTTGCACTGTCTCAGCTGAGCCCAAACTCCAGATCTCTCATTAGCTGAGTGTGTCCCATTAGAGAAGCAAGGACTGACTAGCAGGAAAACTGCAAGTCAACCCTGTGTAGCCTGAGAGTTACAGATTGTTGTTGTTTGAAGGTCCAGAGTGGTTTAGGATGCAGCAACACTTAATAGAAACAGAGGCCAATAAATGTAATGGACCTTTTTTTCCTTGACATTTTCAAAAATCCTAAGGTCAGAATTGGAAGTGACCAAGGAGGTCATTTCATGTCTGTCTGTTTAGACAATTTATGAGGTTAACTGGAAATTCATCAAACGTAAATTTTCATAATCAACCTTGAAGTTCATTTGCTTTTAATTGAAAAACCTTTACTCACTTATATGAAAAGTAATACCACAAAGACAAATATAAATATTCTAATGTCACTGAACACTGAATTATAAATTTGATGGCTGAGGGTTAAATAACCCTCACAATTTTTTTCAGTACTTCCAAAAATAGAAATAGGGCTTTTTTAATTCCTGAAAGTTCTCAGTAAAGTAAAATAAAGCTCCATGATCAACGTCTCCCCAAGGCCTTAATTAAAGTCAGATGCCAAGGCTGAGTTCAGATTCTTCAATTTTATTTCCTAATCCCCATAAAGAGGCATCAAAAAAGTATTTCTCAGTTCTTATTTACATACTCCATAACAGGGCTCATTGATTTTATTTATGTATTTATGTATGTTTATTACACCAACACCAAATTAAATAAATATGCCTTTAACTAAATACAGCCACAAGACCATTTCCACAGAGGATATTGAATATATGGCTGTTTTCTACTATTTGCTGGCAAGCATTCCATGAGATTTCATTAGTTTCAAACACCCCAGAATTTCTATTATAAAGTTGTCCCAAGTTATCTCTAGTGAAAGTGGGAAGAAATATATTTGTATGTAAGCTCAAATATAACAGCAAAGCCTGCCTATAAGTTTACCTTTGCAGCAGGAGTTATATTCAGAGTTGCCGTAGCAGCCACTCACACACACACACACACACACACACACACACACGGTGGGGAAAGAGAGAGAAACAGCAGAGAACAGAATCTATAGTTAAAAAGACAGAGGTCTGTAATCCCAGCTACTCAGGAGGCTGAGGCAGGAGAATTGCCTGAACCCAGGGGGCGGAGGTTGCGGTGAGTCGAGATCGCGCCATTGCACTCCAGCCTGGGTAACAAGAGCGAAACTCCGTCTCAAAAAAAAAAAAAAAAAAAAAAAAAAAAAGACAGAGGTACCCATCAATGTAATTACAAGGAGGAATCCTAGCTTGTAGTCTGAACCAATGTGTAATGGTAGAAGATTTCCCAGCGTTGGAGTGTCTATTGAGGGATTTTGCTCTAAATGATTCTACCATCTGCACCTTTGGCTTTACACTTTACTGGATGCTGGGATTGTGCAGGAAAGAATTCAGCTCCATATGTACACACTAGGGCTAAAATAATATAATATTTCCTTCTCTGGAACATTCAGAAAAACTGCCACCAGAAAAATCTGTGGTTCCGTGGATCCAAGAAAGGTACTTCACTTTTTGAGTCTCCTCATTTATATAAAATGGGTAAAATAATATCACATTCTTTAGGAAAATGAGGATTCAATAAATTACCACAAATAATCAATTATTAAATCAATAATTAAGATAAATAACTTTAAAAATACAAGGGAATTAGTAAAGTATTAATAAGTTAGTAAAAGTAAAGTAATTGGTGCCTGGCACAGAGTAAAGGTTCAACAAATGTTTGCTATAATAATTATTGTCATTAATATTTCCCAGTTTTTGTGACAGAACGTATGATTTATAACTCAACAGTTTCTAAAACAAATGCATGCCAGTGGCCAGTCGACTGGAGCAAGACAATATGTTAAGATTTTTCTAGTGCATACTAGAATACTTTCTCCTGTGGCAATGCCTTTGAAACACTATTTTGCCAGAATAAAAGGGCCGAGTATATTATTATAGAACCACCACTGGCAAACATTGGTTACACAGCAAAATCTAACATGCACTGTGTTTAAATTTTTATTTATTTATTTATTTTAGAGACAGAGTCTTGCTCTGTAACCCAGGCTGAAGTGTAGTTGAGTGACCACAGGTCACTGTCACCTGAAACTCCTGCACTCAGGAGGTTCTCCTGCCTTGGTCGCTCATGTAGCTAGGACTGCAGGCATGCAGTGCCACACTGGCTGAGGTTTTTTTTCTCCCCTTTCTTTTTTTCTGTGGAGATAGGGTCTGCTAGGTTGCCTAGGCTGGTCTCAAACTCCAAAATGATCTTTCTGCCTTTTAGTCTCCCAGAGTGCTAGTATTACAGGCATGAGCCACCACACCCTGTCTGAATCTAATGTCTATTAGTATTAAAATATTTGTCAGAGAGTATTCTGGAATTTGTCTCCTGTCATTGGCTTGGGCATGTATGTATATTTGCAATTTATACCCAGATACAATTATAAACGTCAAATTTAGATGTGACGGCAATGAGTGAAAAGTATTTTGTGACTTCTGCTTCACTCAAGTTTCAATCCCCATTTTAAGGCTGAGTGCTTCATAGATTAGTAAAGCTGAAACATGCAGTCAAGCAATTTCTTTAATAGGAAAGAATATGCATGGGTTAGCATACTTCATATCAGGCCTAGAGGTACCTTAGAATGTGAAGATGGACCAAAGAAAATGGGGGAAATTAAAAGAACTGAGTTTGGGGGCACAGTGAGATGGCAAGAAGAAAGTTGTAACAGACAAACTTCAGAAAAGTTAGGAAGCAGTGGAAGAGAAAATTGATAGAACAGGATTAAGGAAAGAATCCTTGACTTCATAAAAAGTTTTTGGATGGAATTTTAAAAATGTTCAGGCAGTCAGGGATAGAATTAACTTGGCTTAAAAACTTTAAAAATGTTAAAATGTGGCCAGGGGTGGTGGCTCACACTTGCAATCCCAGCACTTTGGGAGGCCGAGGCAGGTGGATCACATGAAGTCAGGAGTTTGAGACCAGCCTGACCAACATGGTGAAACACCGTGTCTACAGAAAATATAAATTAGCCAGGCATAGTGGTGCATTCCTGTGATCCCCACTACTAGGGAGGCTGGGGCAGAAGAATTGCTTAAACCTGGGAAGTGGAGGTTGCAGTTAGCTGAAATCATGCCATTGCACTCCAGTCTGGGAAACAAGAGCAAAAAAACCTCACCTAAAAAAAAAATTAAAATGCATACTCTAAAATTATCCTGCCATTGTAAATGTTATGTGTAATCTGTTATTTCCCTTCCTAAATTGTCCTTCTATTTAGTAATCTTTATTTGCAATCTCAAGTAGAGATGTCACAGGGTATTCCATATATTCTCTCTACTTTAGAAATGACATGATTGTATTGAAAACATTTCCATTATAAAATAGCTCCCTAAGGGTAAAAGAATAATTCCAAGTTTTTCTAAGTCATTAGAAATAATCAAATTCAGCTTCAAACTGGTCCTGGGGACTTTATAGATCTCTTGTTAATGAGCTGAAATTGGAGGAAAGCAGAATGGGCACCACTGGGAAGGAGAACCCCAGACGATATTTAAATTCTCTGACTTGTCCATGTGCAGCGGCTCATGCCTATAATGCCAACACTTTGAGAGGCTGAGGTGGGCAGATCACGTGAGGTCAGAGTTTGAGACCAGCCTGGTTTCAACATGGTGAAAACCCATCTCTACTAAAAATACAAAAATTAGGTGGGTTTGGTGACACACACCTGTAGTTTCAGCTACTCGAGAGGCTAAGGCAGGAGAATTGCTTGAACCTGGAAGGCGGAGGTTACAGTGAGCCGAGATAATGCCACTGCACTCTGACCTGGGCGACAGAGACTCTGTCTAAAAAAACATGATCTGATCTTACTGGAGTTTGTGGAAAAGCCTACAGGGAAGACCTCTGGAGTCCACCTCCTGAGCTGCAAGGCACATTCTCGTGAAGAGGGAGAGGCTGATGGTACCATTGTTGGGGACAAGAGCTGCCTGTCAAGGCTGTCACTCTTTCTCCTTTTGTATATGCATAATGTACTCACCACTTCCATCTACAGGTCCTAGGATAGCTGCATTGGGGCCTGGCTCTTACCACTAAGATGATGGACAATACTCAAAACTAAAGGAAAAATACATAGATTTCCAAGGACACTTTGGTTAGTTCTATGAGAAAATGTTAAACACTAATTGAGATATGATGATCATATAGTTGCCAGTAACAATAGTGCTTTCTAGAAAAAATAAGTGCCTCTTTCACCACCAGCAGGGACTATGAGAGCTTGGGTGGGCAGCTAAGAGGCCTGAGCAGTTCTCTTAATTGTGCTATTACAAGTTCATGGGGAATGCTACAGAACAAATTTGTTTCCTCTAAGTCCTGTTTAATTAAAGACAAACATATTCTCAAATAGAAATGTTAATGGCTATATTTTTCAATGCAACCAACTATCCACACCATCTCATGAGAGTCAACTGACTTAATTTTGTTCAGAGTACAAATAGCTATTATTAAAAATAGATTAAATGTCCTGTGGAAAGATATGAATGTGCTTTAAGTGACTTTCATTATGGCAGGGAAAAAGAATTTCTAGATTGGAAAAATTAACAGTAATACAGACTAAGACAACAATTTTATAATCATTACTTACAGTCAGATACATAGCTGCATAGACACTGAGAGCTGCTTCTTTGGATGGAAAGGTTTTTCTTGCTCTCATGATGAGATCTGGGTTGCCGGTACAGGCCTCTTCCCCACTGATGAACTGTGTATACTGCTGACATCCAAGTGCTGTATAATTGGGCTTACACAGGGCAAGGAAATGTGGGGCCAGATTTCCTGTGACGACTTGGCCAGCATTTACAAAGATATCTGTAGCAAACAGTCCAAATGTATAAATTCCTGGGGAAGAAAACAAATAATTTTAATTGTGTGTGTGTGTGTGTGTGTGTGTGTGTAAATTTCAGTTTATAAAAAACCAAAATGAAAATATTGTAGAAACTATAAAATATTCCATACATACACATAGTTTCTTTCATTTTATTCCTCTCCATTTCTTTCCCTGGCTTTCTGGGAGTGGTGGAAGTGGTAAATTATTTAACATATTGAACTGCCTACTACTAGGTTTTGTGCACGGCAGGTTTATAGGACATAAGATAAAATAAGGACATTTATTCTCAGACCCTGGGTAATGCAATTGTTTCATACAGTCCATGTGTTCCTTGAGAGGGTAGAGTCTATCATGTTCTACTAACATTAGCAATTTTATTTTTTCCCTATTTTTGAAAATATTTTTTGTCTCACTAACAGAAAGCAAAGCGGTTGTCTCTCTTTGCTTATGACTCTTACTCTCAGACTCATGTTAACGCTGCTGGAGGTGCCAATTAGCAGTAAATCCGGTGCCATTAGTTTTCATTTAAATGTGGAAAATCTTAAGTAAAGCATAATGCTTTCAGAGTTATCTCTACAATGCCTTCAGAAATACATTTTTTAAAGTCACAGGACAGCTAGTAATTTAGTTCCACCTTATCTTTTATGGACTGGCTTTCAATCGATCCAATTTGGGCTATTTAGTAACAAGACAATCAAAATCATAGGTTATTAATTATCTTTACAGTCTTAAAATTTGTTTGCCATGGTTATCTGAAGATATAAAACTAAGTCCATAGATATTTTTCCTTCTTTGGTAAGGAACTTGCCAATTTACTTGAATACCAAAAACACTTTCTAAATTTAACGCCCTTGGTCATTATTGTTAAAACTTATTTTTCTATTGTACAGGCAAAATAATTTTTTGGCATTAATTTCAATTAAACTTACAGCTACAATCTTCAAGGATGTGGTAACAATGAAAAGAAATTCATCCTTTTATAATTTGGAGAATAAAATCCAATAGGACCTTTTTAAACTATCCCACAGTAATACTTCTAAAAGTACTGATTTATTAAAATGTCTTATACTTATGCTACAATATTAGATGTTTTTCTTCTTGGTCATATATTTCTGGATTGTTTGTGTCCCAAGCCTTTTCATCATTATTGGCTGTTGTATAGTATATCACCATAAAAGTTGTACCATATCAAATAATTTTCCAGTATTAGATGCATGGCTGTTCCTTTAAATTTTTGAAATATTATATATGATTGCAAAAGGTTGACACACAAAAACCCCCACACAGCAAAATTCTATGCGTGTGCAAATGGAAATGAAACAAAGATATTAGTTCTCTCTTTATCTAAAAATCCTAAAATAAAACAATAAGAAGCTCTTCTTAACATCTCACCAGCATTCTATGAGTCACACAAAGTAAAGGTTATCAAAATCAGAAATTTGAGAGAGACAGAGAAATTAAAGAGAACTGAGCTCAATAAAAGCTCTCCTTCCAAAATCTCATGGCCAAGCATGGGAACCTAAATTACAAGTCTTCTTCATTTGTATGCCTTTGAAATGTAGGCTGTTTGGTGTAATGGGTTTTCCTGTTTATAATAGACTGAAATATTTGATAAGAATGTGGCAATGTATCTTGATACTTTAAAGTTCCCAAATGAGTTTTTGAATTAAAATATCAGTCCATCAGGCCCAAGGCTAATACTGTAGTTGACTACAAAGATAATTATTAAACTGGGATCTTACGAGTGTATCTACTCCACTGACCCAAAGAATAAAGTCACTATAAAGAGTGATGTGCTATTCCACAGTAATGCTTCACTTCCATGCTTCCACTTTATTATAGCTAGAAACATGCAAATCATAAGTGAACAAGAAACAAATGAGGCTTTCATATTTTATAAAATCATATAAGAAGAAGCATGTAGAGACTTAAAAGCATACTGTACTTGAAACCAAATATTCTTTAGAAATATGTGTGTGAATGAAGAAAAATATTTTACTTCAATAGGCACAATGTAATTTCCTTAACAGTATTTAGGAAAGCATCTATTTCTCTAAATACTTTTAATTGTGAGCATATGGTTGTATATTGCTTATACAGGAAGAAATTAGTCAAGAACACAGTATTGATAGATGTGAAAAAATAACTTTAAAGGTTTCATATAAAAGCTGTCCCTTCAACTTGGGCTTTGGAGATACATAACTTGATGTCAGTAAAAAGAACGGTCTTGGATATGAAAACCTTTCGTCTTCAGAGAGATCTAAAAGCCTGATGACATTTGGCTAGTCTTTAATGGGTTTACAGATAGATTAGGTGATATATGCATGATATCTTCAAAGTCTTCATCTTGATCCCTTCAATATGAGAAATATGTTGAAGAGTTACATTATCTTTAATGTATCTCTTAATACTAATACAATTTATCTTAAATGACATTTAGTATATACAGATATGCTTATTTCATCTGATAAATCCAGGAAACATTTATATTAAATGTTTTATTATTGAGTCAGTTAAAAAATGTGTCTAGGCTAAGTTCCTATTGAATTAAAATGATTTTCAATAATTCAATCATGCATATACTTATTATTGCTAGTATTTGAGATTCAAAGTTATTAGTGAATCTTGTCCTCTAATAAAATCCTCAATATGCTTTTAGTTATATAAAAATCAACTTAGAAATAGTGCATGGAGTGCTACATTTCTTCTACTTACCAAGCTATTTTTCTTGTCCTTCGTGATGTTCAGCAACCTACCTGGATTATCACCACCCTCCCACTAAGTATTGCTCAAAGATTTTCATAAACACAGTAGTCATGTGATTTTTGGTTCTTAAAGAATCTGAAACATCCAAATGTGGTGTTCTTTCTTCCTTAAAGGAATGTGGAAATGCCATCCTAAAGTGGAATCTTGAAATATTAAAGAGAAAGTAGTATGTAATGTTTTTTTTTTAATTTTTAATTTATTTTTTTATTTCAGCAGATCTTAGGGGAACAGGTGGTGTTTGTTACATGCATGAATGTTCTTTAATGGTGATGTCTGGGATTTTGATCCACCCGTCACCCAAGCAGTGGGTATTGTTTATTTTTAAAAGCAAATTAAAACATTTCAAAGAAAAAATAACCTAATATTTGCATACAGTTAAAATGTGGGTCATTTTAAGGGTTAGCTTATGCATGGACACTGTTTTAGAAATAACAAAAATAATTTAATGAACACATACCAAGAAATCGGACAGTTCGGCGCACCAGCGGGTTTATATAACAACAGTCTCCAGTTAGAATAGTTTTTTCCTGGTTTTCAAAATCCCTTGTGGCTAGTTGTAGGCAAAAGACAGCAGTTTCTCCAACTATTATCTTGAAAGAAAATCAAAGATTAAGAAATATTAGAATTTAACCAGTACAGATGTAAAATATTTTTATTTTTAAAATTTAAAATGGAGCTCTTTTGAATGCTAATAATCTCAATGTAAAACGGAGCCATAATTGATTATCTAGAGCCTTTGATTACAGACTTGTCCCTATGTATGTAAACCATATTTTTCTCAATTCCGGAAAGTACCATGCTGAAAAATTATGAATAAAAATGGACAGTTTTGTTTTCTGAAAGTCTTAAAAAATAAAATATACAAAAACATTAAAGGAAATACTCATTTATTTTTGGTGTGTAATTAAATTCCATGTTTTATTACTTAAGTGACCATGTCTTGTTTAAATTTGACTCTGCTAGAGAATTCACAACAGATTCTCCATGCAAATACTTTTAAAGCATTTGATATACACATACTAATTTAAAATCATATTAATATTTTAATAAATAAGAAAAAATAAATCTGCACGTTTGACCTTGAGAACCTCCTATTCTGTGACATTACCAGGAATTGTCATAATTAATATATTACTTGTCATAATTAATATATTTTCAAGTGTTATTTTGATCTTCATCAAAACCATATGAAACTGGGAATAGCCTCCTACCCTTTTTACAAGTAAAGAACACCAAGACTTGGAAGACAAGTAGGTTGACCAAGTGCTGGCAAGAAGAACAAGGTTCTGTTACAGATGTTTTGCTCTACTCTGCTGACTTATTAAAGGACCTGGCCTTGCATTGGTATTTGTGCCATTGGTAGTGATTTTTATACACGGCCCTCAAAATCACCCGGCGAAGTAATACAGCAAGTATTATTATTCCATTTTATAGATGAGGAAATGCAGATTTACGAGGTTAAATAATGTGTTTCTTTTAAGGCCATCAGAAACCAAGCAGAAATTTCTGACTCCATTTAATACAATAGCATGAGAAATAAGAGAAAAAGAAACTGGAGCCAATAGTGTGTCTACTAAGTTGTCATTGTGAGGTTTGCTTTTATTACCTCTTGTCAAGCTTAATTAACATGCTACACAGGGAGTCCTTGACATTCCCTGGAGAAATGCTTTTGGGGTCTCTATGAAAAGTAATATCTATGATTACAAGATATTCAAAATAGAAAGTGTGAGGTAGAGAAGGAGGTTCCAGGAGATTAGGTGTTTGACATACTTTTACCCTAGTGTGAACAAAAGATTATGAGACATCTCTTCATTTTCATCCTTCTTTCTCCCTTCTTTTTCTTTCTTCTTACTATACTTCTTTTTCCAAGGAGGCCAGAGTTCAATGTTAAATCAGAAGACATTGTAAATCAAAAGAGACTAATCTTGCTTATTTGGTGAGACTGGATTGAATTGGGAGAGATAAGAACTTCCAAATTCCTCTTGAATTTTAACTCTGGCGTTGGTGAAGTAGAGCAGATGTGTGACGAAACAGTTCATCCAGCCAAAACATACACAAGAATTATTTTTCATGAGTATTTGGAGAATCTTCCAAGATGATGAACTGTTTTTTGATACCTTATCTCTCTTTCTGGATAACTTTTTCTCATGTCCCACCTCCTCTTCACTGTACCTTGAAAGAAATTACTATGATGATGCTTTCTGGGTTTTCAGATTCGACTTCTTCTGGGTCTGCCTTACCACAGAATGTTCCAAATTCTAGCTATGCATTATCCACTCCACTTCATGAGCTGACCGGCTCTGCATGTGATGGCTGCCCTCTCAGCCTCCTCTTCTCCACTGCAGCTTACACTGAGTCTCCATCCCCAGGCAGACCCCATCCCATGGTGCACTGAACCCAAACTTAGGCTAGACATGTTAAACTTCCTAGAAGGTAGTAGGTATCCAATAATTCTTATTGAATGCATAAAGGAATCCCATTTTCAAAAAAATCTCAGCTTCAGTAGATCAGAATACCCTAGTCTGCTATTGACTTTTTGCCTGACTTCTAGTAAACAACTTCTGGCTTGTTCCTATGATGAAGGATCTATCCTATACCTAGTTCCTAAAACCAGAGGGCATATGTGAAGTCCCTTGTGAAGACTTAATAGCTCTTTTCAGTTACCAGGGTCTTAACAGACCAAAAACTGACTTGTTGGGGCCACTTTTCCCGGTGGCTTTCTAATGCTGACCTCTTGCTTACCTGCATCTCAGCGCATTTCATGTTGCGGAATTTCCAATTTCTGTCCTGAGCATTTCTGCCAAAACGGTTTTTCAGCAATATCAGTTGGCTGCTACTACAAGAGACCCACTTGAATTATGTTAACCAAAATAGTAAGTTTATTCTACAATTAGTTTCCTCAGAATTGAAGGGCAGGGAACTTGGGAATTGGGCCCATGAATGGAAAGTCTTCAGGAGTCCAAGCCACAGTTGTCACCATGTCATTCTCCCTCGTTCCCTGAAGTCTCACTGTCTCTTATGTCAGTTTCTCTGTGTATGCCTTTCTGCCAGACAGGGCTCCTGATTCTGAGCATACATGGTTTCCCCAACTGTCTTCAAGAAGCTTGTCTTTGAATTTGTCAGCTCAGCCCAAGGGAACAGTTCAACTGATACAATTTTCCAAACCTCAATTCCAAGTTTCCGGGAGGTTTAGGTTGAGATACGGCATCTCTTCCGGGGTCCAATGAACCAAGGTTAAGAAGGTATGTCGCGGTCTATGAAAATGTCACTGTGGGTAGAGAAGGTAGTTATGAAAAGCAGACAGCTGCTGTGATCAGATGCTGATGTCAAACTCTCGTCCATCACATCTTGCTGGACTCCCTCTGGCCAGTAATTGGTCCTGACTAGCTCTTTCCAGCATGTTCTCTGGATACTGTATTCTGTCCACCTATTTGGACTTCATCTCATCAAATGCATATGCGTAGGTGTCTGCTTTCCTCCAAGGGTATGTCTGATTCACACGCTCTAGTCTCCTTTCCCAAGAGCTCACTGTGATATCTATGGAACCCCTCATCCAAACGATATTCTCTCTTAACTTCCCCTACCCAACTTCCTGAGTGAACACTCCAATTGTTTACTGCTCTCAGATAATTTTTTTGTTTTTTTGAAGATGAAGTCTCACTCTTTCACCCAGGCTGGAGTGTAGTGGCACTATCTCGGTTCACTGCAACCTCTTCCTCCCGAATTCAAGTGATTTTTCTGCCTCAGCCTCCCAAGTAGATGGAACTATAGGCATATGTCACCACACTAGGCTATTTTTTTTTTTAATTTTTAGTAGAGATGGGGTTTTACCATGTTGGCCAGGCTGGTCTCGAACTCCCGACCTCAGGTGATCCACCCGCCTTGCCTTCCGGACATGCTGGGATTATAGGTGTGAGCCACCACACCCAGCCTGCTCTCAGATAAATTCAAAAAATGAAATTAAAATAACTGTAATTATAATGAATGTATTTATTTAAATGGCTTCTAAGTCAAGGGCACAGTACTAGACACTAATGTTTGAAGAAAGGTTTATAATCTAACTGGGTAGACACAAGCAAAATGATTAATAATGGTACAAGGTTGCAGAGGCTGAACTCTATTTGACTGGTTTGGACACATATGCTAGGAGAACACTTGGAAAGAAGTATCACTGAGTCACTGAGGGACTCTGTGATGGCAATGAAACATGTCACTCAAATCTCCCATTGCAGGGATGTTTACAGACAGATGGTGCTGGCTGCTGCTCCTCTGGATCCGCTACTGAACCCATGCTGAGGCCACACTTACTTCCTACAGGCTCCTCCTAGCCAATGACTAAGCGAGGTAGGGGTTCTAAGGTGAGCCTAATCTTCTGAAACATGGGACACCTCCAACTGGCAATTTTGGTTTAAACATTTCCCATGAGCCTGACCAAATCTTTCTTAGAGCCATGCTTCCTATGCAATCCCACTACCCCTACTAGACTACCTCACCTAGGCTGAAGTGTTTTTCATCCAGCCCACCTTCTTTCTTCCTCTCACACACTGGGGAGACCTCCATCACAGTCTGAAGGCTGTCTTTGCTGTCTCTGACTCATCCCTCAACCTTTGTGTTTCACAGGTGTTTTTTCTAACAACTCTTGTACTTCTAATCTCACTTAATAACTGCTTCTAGGAGAATATAAATATATACAGCACCAAAGACAGACAGGGTATGATCCTTACTACAATTAAAGGCTGTTATCAGATAAGTGCAGAGGATTCAGAAACAACCCTAACCAGAACGCAAGTATTTGGAGGAGAGGAGGTAACCTTTCTCCTATTAGCGCTCAGCTTGACCTCAACAGGAGCTAAAGTAGATTGAGTTTGCCTTGAACGCAGAGGCACAATACCAGGGTAGCACTTAGTAAATGTTAACAGTTGAAAAAATTACTGGCAACAAGAGCATCAATAACAATAGCAATATTGCTACTAAGGCCAACAGCATTAGTATACAGTCTAATATATATGTAATTGTATGCAGTTTATATTTCTATTAATGATTTTATCTATTCTTTCTTTCTAAGCTTGGCACAGTACTAGGCACAGAGTAGGGAATTTTCATTTTCTGTTGTCCTATATCTTTTTATGACTAATTTAACACCACATCAGTCATATTGACTCTAATGCATACATTTCTCTTTGTCCTCTTGAATTTGAATCAGAGGTTCTGGTAGGTGAGTTACAGACCTAAGTTCTATGTTATCTGGTATTTTATTTTGGCTCTTTTTTTCTGACTGAAGCCCTCCCTGGTTGACTTCATTTCTCCTAAGATTTTACCAACCCCTGCTCCATTAAGTCGTCCTAAATCTGTATATCTCCCCTAAACTCCAGATGCAGGTCTCCATCCACCTACTAAACAGCAACACCTCAACACGCTCATGTCTACCTACTGGAAGGCCACAGAGCCTTTACATCCAAAATAAAATCCACATGTTCCACGTTGAACCTCCTGCTCTTCCGTGTCACCATCCCGATTAATCCATTCAATTTCTACTTGGACTCAAGCTAAAACTCTTTTACAAAATTCATGCTGACACCTCAATTTCCCT